ATTTAAAATATTTTTACCCTACCTTGAAAAGGACCCAAGGCGGCTTACAACAATAGTGAAAGTTGAAAACAATATGACACTAATTAACGTCATTAAGAGGGGATATTTAAACAATTATGAACATTGAATAATGAGGCATCTTACATCAATTAGCAGGCACTATTAAGGCAAAGATCAATAAGTATACAAAAATTTTAAAAATGTCACTCTGAGAGGAAAACACAAGTAGTACTAACAGTCCAGTCAAAGCAGTAATGCATAGCAATCGATCTAAAAATCACATACAGGAGCTGGTTACCGAGGGAAGGATTACCTGAAGAGAAAAGTCTTTGCCTGCTTGTGAAAGGATAGCAATGATGGGGCCAGTTTGGCCTCCTGTGGGAGGGAGTTCCAGAGTCTGGGAGCAGCAACAGAGAAGGCTGTCTCTTGTGTCCCCATCAGAAGCACCTGTGAAGGTGGCGGGACCAAGAGAAAGCCCTCTCCTGATGATCTTAGCACCGGAGCCAGCTCATAATGGGAGATACGGTCTTTGACATAGCTTGGACCCAGGCTATTTAGGGCTTTATAGGTTAAAACCAGCATTTTAAATTGTGCCCAGTAACCTTGTTAATATGTAACAACTTACTACTGCAATTTACATACGTTTCCTTATTTATGTGTAAATCAACAGAAAGATTGTGGCAAACATTCTCTCTATATATATAAAAGGGAGGGACTGAAAGGAAATATAAATTTCAAAATATAAACTCTAGTTGGTTTTCTGCACCGAAAGTATGTCCTCAAGACTATGCAGAATTGAAATCATGAAGTCCTCTCCAAGAGTAAGAATAACAAGCCCCACAATGGGAGTAATCTCTGAGGCAAAACAGAAGGGAGAATCACCTTCCTGCTGTCTAAACTGTGGTGGTTACTTCATGATTTATTGGGTTCCAAACTGCTCTGCTTAAATCAGTGGTTCCCAACCTTGAGTCCCCGTGTATTTTTGGACTAAAAGTCCCGGAAGCCTTCACCACTAGCTGTGCTGGCTAGGATTTCTGGGAGTTGTAGTCCAAGAAAATCTGGGGTCCAAGGCTGAGAACCACTGGCATAAATCTAGCACTAAGAATCAGCAATACTGTATTTGTTTAAGAGAAGAGCAGATGAAACTTAAGAGTACAGAACATGCTGTGCTATCAAGTATACAGTAGCAACCAGTCTTGACTAAAGACACACATGTGGCCCTGCGAAGACATTAGGTGACAGAAGTTGGCAACCTGGCACTCTTCAGATATTTTGGATGACCGTGGTTGTAGACCACAGCCAACATAATCTCTTTTTAGAGATTATAGTTCAAAGCAGCTGGACAACACAGGTTATCTACCACTGTTTCTTTTCTGTTCGAGCAATATATATGACACTGCCTCTTTCTGTCTGCTCATGTACCTAGTCAACATTCTTTGCTTTTAGCTGGAGGTGCATTCCTAACATTTCATGGGATCTTTTGTCGCTCTGTTGAGGCACTGGCTGCAATCCTGTGTATACTTAGCTGAGTGTAAGGTTTTTTTTGAGAATCAGAACTTTCAGCAAAAACATGTAGGATTTAACTATCAAGATAAAATATGGATACAGATAGATTTGGAGCAGATCTGCTGTTAGAGGCATCTCCGATGGAATTAACCATAGAAAGATTAAAGTTCTTAAAATTCACCAGTTTTCAGTGGATCAGCCGCACTGAAGCCGCAAAAGCATCCACAGAGCTCAGCTCCTGTTGCTCAAAGGTTATGAGGCAAAAGCCTTTGACTTTGTTGTAAGAAACTTGTCTCCTGGGCCTTATTCTGAGGGAAGAAACTTGGTTGATCTTCGCTCCAAAGAAAGCACAAGTTCTCAGTCTGCAAATAAAGCATGGGATGAGTTTTATTATTTTTTTACACCCATGAGGATGAAAGAACCTTCTTCAGAAGGCAGTTGTAAATCATGTTTTCAACTGCTCATGAAGACTCCCATCTGTTAGCAGTTCTGGAAGGCCTCTGGTTCAAAGGTAATTACCATGTGCGTTCCCCTAAAACCAACAGAACAGTCACCTGCAAATGCAACACATATAATAAAAGTAAAACAAACAATTACTTACGAGTGAATAATGAAATATTGTCCACTTGAGAAGTTTACAATTGTCTCTTATTCTTTCCTCCATTACTTCCTTTAGGAGCAGGGGGAGGGTATGGAATTGATTAATTTTTTTTTGGGGGGGGGACCCCTGACCAGATAAAGGAGGGCAAAGCAAAACTGTGTTTCTTGTAGTCATTTTTCATTGCCGGTGCTGGAAATGAGGGCATGGCCTTTAAATAGCCTGTCTTCTAAAAATAGTCCTATCGTTAGTACATAGTTTATTGAAAATAGCTTCCAGTTTGAACCCAGGGCTGTTGAACTATGGAACCTTTTTGCTTAATGAGTCTGCCATGCCAGGAAGTGTTTATACTGTCCATACTTAATTGGACCATTTGGAGATCGTAGAGGAAGGCTATTGTGTCAGACTTGACAGTAATGGGTGGTTGCCCAATTAGGAGAATGACCCCATTTGATGTCCCGTCTCATACATAGTCTCCTTCCAGTTATGACTTCTGCTGGTAAGGCTTTATTGATGGTTACTCCCTCTGCTACATTTGTAAGCACTGAACACCTAGTATATTTGGGCTTTGAGCTAGTTAAGGCAAATAGGAATTCTGCCTCTGAGGTCATTTGGATCCTATCATTTGTGTTCCTGTGCAACACTGTCAAGCTGACTTGGCCGACATGCTTTTCTGCTGTGTTTTGCAGATATCCTGATAAAGGCTTTGATGATAATTACTGCCGCAATCCGGATGGTAAACCGAGACCATGGTGTTTCACTCTTGACCCAAACACCCGCTGGGAGTTTTGCAACATCAAAACGTGTGGTGAGTTGAACACAAGTATTTGTTATGTCCTTTTGCTTATTTTAAATCCAGTGGCTACCAAAGCCCTGCTCACATGTTCAAACAATGGTTAATTTTAACATCCACGCATTTTCAAATCAACCCTTTTCTGAACGCTTCAGTGGGTAATTAAACTCTCTGTGACTATGTCCAATTAACCAGTAACTCATTACTGTGTGTGGAAGCTTGGTTCATGTTACCTACGACGTTATGTTGTTTGGCCTATCCCATGGTCTCAGATGTGATATCCTTATCTCTAGCCCTCACTGTTCTGTGGTTACCAGGTAGAGGGATGACATGGCTGTTGTGAGGTTGCATGGCTTTTCCTAGACCAGGGGAGTATGTGGTTCTCCATTCAGCATCTTGGGAGCCCCCCCCCAAAAAATACTTGGATTTTAAAACTTTTTTTGGTTGTTGTTGCAGGTTGCAACTTTGAATACCCGTATTTTTCGCTCCATAAGACGCACCGCCCCCCCCCCCCAAAATTGGATTTTTAAAATTTTTTTGGTTGTTGTTGCTAAAAAGTACACTTCCTGCTCTGTAGGCTAGGGGGCATAGGAGCCAATTATGCCATATTTTTGGCTTTCTGCCCCCACGTTTTCTACCCCTGCTCTAGCCCAATCCCCTGTCTATGAGTTAAGCATGTACTGTATGTTAGCAGGTTGCAACTTTGAATACCTTCCCTAGGAATCCAGGACTTTAGCATTCAAGGCTTTCGTGAATGCTGGAGACAGCACATATGCTTTTCCTCTCCAGATGCCTTAAGTGGGTGTTGCTTTCAGAGTCAGGGGAAGCTGTAAGGTCATGTGAGCAAAGTCTGAAGGTTTGGTGGTCATATTCGGCACTCCCCCCTCCCAGCCCCAGGGATCGCATCAGACCTCGAAATGGCCCAAAACAGACATTTTAAAGGAAAAAAAGCAAAACAGGCAGGGCTGGTTCGCTTTTTGTTTTAATTGAGAGATTTTACAAAATTTAGGGAACTCCAAAGGCCCAAGAGCTAAAAACCACTGTGCCTAGGGGCTTATTTTGATGAAAATAGCCCATTAAAAAAAATCTATTTTAAAAAAATCCTTTTTTACTTGAAGGGCTCTGGGGAGCTTAACCTAGTTGTAGAAATGCTCCTGAGACGACATTTGTCTGTTGACCAGATTTGCCTTCCCCGTTATATAGAGACATGATCAAGAGCTTGAAGATCTTACTTTCTGGACAATAGGTGTCAGAGTATCCCAACCAACATGGCTGGGTAGTCAGAGAATCATGGGACTTGTAGTCCAAAGAGGAAACCTTTCCAATCTCTGACAGGACCTATTCCCTGCTAATCCAACAAGAGCCCCTTCACGCCTATTACATGTAAAGTTGATTGCTATATCTGATCTTTGTCTAAGGATGATGGCTACTCTTCAGATTTCACGAGTAAGGTTTGCTTCTTGTTTTTCTTGAATTCATTCATAAGCTTCTGATTCGATCCACACGGGATCCACACTGGCAGGCCAATATATTGCAGTGGATGTTTGTGCTGGAAGCCGAGCTTTGACTAAACTTCTATATAAAGTATGTGCCCCCCCCCCCCCCTGCAAGGCCCAGCAGGATTTCACAAAAAGCTTTACTT